AAATGCAAATTTTTTCTATCCACCAAAAAACAATGATTTAAGACGTCTAATTGTACGCGTCAAAATTTTTCAAATCTTCAGAAAATTTCAAACATTCAGAGAACAAGAAACAAGAACAAATTCCACAATACAAAAAAATTACTTTCCAAAAAAAACAAAAAATCACCACAACCGAATCAAACCTTCGTCAAAAGTTGATATAAGTGCTGCATAATTGCAGACGTGCGTTTCACCTGCACACTCTCTGCACCACTGCTTATCGTCCACGCTGAAAGCATTCGCAAATGCGCCATCTCAGAAGTCTTACTTGCCAAATCCTTGAAGTCGCTTATCTCAAATATATTATTCCTACCATTATTTTACACTTACAACACTATTCATAATAAAAACAAATAATCACATTTAAAAAGTAATAACCATTATAATATCTATTATTTGCATATATCATATATTCATACCGTTTCCAACAGTGCACTGTTTTGTTGTCGTGCCGATCCCTCATAAGCCGTATACACTGAACGACCAAATTCTTCCAGCTCGCACGCAATCATTTTATGCAAAAATTTTCCGAATTCTGCAAAAAGGAAAGAAAAGTTTAAAAACTTCTGCAAAAGTACAATTATTTTTTGTTTCATAAACTTTTTCTAAACTTACACAAAATAAAAAATCTAACCTTAATAGCAAAATAACAAAAATAATGCAAAACCACAGAAATACCTTCTGCAACAATCTTTTGCTCTAGCAAAGTGGACTGTTTATCGTTTGCGATTGTCTGAATGCAAGTGCTCAGCACTAAGCCAGCTTCAATCCCCTCCAGCGCTCTCTTCACTTCCGGTAAATCGAATGCTGACAAAGCACGCCACACTGCTGCACGAACCTCTGCTGCTCGATGCGATTTCAGTTTCCATAACTTTCGGATACAGTCCAGAATCACTTCCTCAACAACACAACATTCATCCCATCTCACCCCACCTCAAATCACCACTCCAATTCACCTACCTCTTGTTCCGGATCACTTGCAGATGTACTCAACAGATCACAATACGCCACCAATGCCTCCTCACAGTTCGTATTCTGCATTCTCGTGTCCATTTGTTTCAGCACTGCACTCACATCCAATACCTTCACATCATTTTTAACCACTATTTAAGAGATAATAATAATTATTGTGTTTATTATTTGCAGTTCATATTAACAATAACAACACCAAATATATATCTAATCCGTACCTCAGATCGACACAAATCAGCAATCGCATACACTGCATCTGCTAAAAGTGGTCCATTCGAATTCGATAGCGCCGAAAGACGCGGTAGAAACTCTTCAGCACGATCACTTTAATAATAACAATAATAAACACTTGCATTTAAAAAATAATAAAAAACACGATAATAACAAATCTAACCTTTGACTGCAAATTCTACGGATGAGACTCATTTTGGCATGCTCAAATTTCAGATCTCCTTTTGTGTCATCCACCGTTGTCGTTAACTGCGCTATTTCATCCAGTAGGTTTTCGTTTCGAGACCAAACATCACCGACCAACTCAACTGCCTTCAGACGTTCTTCAGATTTGCTACGTTGCTGCGATATGACCAGCAAAAACTTCAGGGCTCGACGAACGACGTACTGAAACACTTGCTGAAGTATGCAGGCAAAATTCTAATTTACGAATGAATATTTTTCAGAAAGTGAAAAGCGAACGGAACAGAATACCACAAACACAGAAATATGTACCTTACTAACGCCAATTCGGGCAATACATTCCAAAATCGGAATTTTCGGCAGGTCAGCACGACTGTACAGCGACAAAACAACAAGAAATATTTCATTAACCTGAAACTAATCCCAATCAACTGTGAAACAATATTGACTCAAATGATATCCGAATAACCTAGATACGATAACCAATATAAAATAATACAAAACACAAAATATGAACCACAATTAATCACGTAATATCAAAAGAATCAGCAGTAAAAACATTGAAATGAAGAGAAAAACATTCGAAAATAATTCAACAACAAATAAATCTCACCAATGACGGATTCTTATCAGCGAATAACACAAAAAGATTTATAAAATATCGAATATTATCATCGCTTATTTTCGGCAATAAACCAACCAAAAAATTCACACTCAAATTCGTTACCAAACTACGTCCACGTTCAGCCCAAATCTAAAATTTAGTTCAAAAAATCATACAAATTTCTGCGGAAAACTTTTCTGAAAATTTAAGGGAAAGAAATTTTGTTTCAAACAAAATAATCGCTAACAATAATACAAATACTAAGGAACAACACGGGCAAATGATAACAATCTCTAGAAAATAACTTAAATTGAATAGAAACAACCTCTAAGAAGGTATTCAAACAATGCTCATCACTTCCGTATATCCACTCCAAATAATCAGCCAAATTACCATTCATTGAAATTTCTTCCTCACCACGAAAATTCCCATCGTCCTCCAATTTCACGGATTTGGTTATGTTCAGTAAATTTTTGACGATTTCAAGCGAATCGCGACCCATCAGTCTAAATTACATTCCGCATAAAGACTCAACTATAAGAGTCCTCCAGCCTTCATCGCCGTAAATTCAAACTCTCCAAAACCCTGAGCGATCCATCAATACAAAATCAGCGATATAAAAGCACTGATATGTATGGTACATGAATGCTTTTAACTTTATTTTATCTATAATCAATCAAAACAAAATAACGAGAATAACCAAACACATTCAACAAGAGACACAACAAACTCAACTTACTTTGGCATACTCGAGTTATGCGACCACTCAGATAAGCATGAATATAAAGTGTACAGCGATGATAATAATATCGGATGTCTCGGGAATGTTGCATTTTGAAGCAATTCAAGTGAATTTGAAAACGATTTCGATACCAGTTGATCACATAATGCAAATAAACACCTTTTATAATCCAATCTTATAGTCGATAACACATCACGAGAATATAACTCTTAAATCTGGTAATCATTTAAACGATGACATCAATGACAACAATAATAACAACACGAATGAATACAATATCACCCACCTGCTCGTCTCAACATCAATAAATTTCTTGCTTCCGATTCTTCAGCGAGTGAAATCATATAATATGGAATCACATCGTCAAATTCCAGTAGAATTTGTACGTGTTCGTACGATCCTCTCGTTATGGTATGATGTATGAGTTGATTTTTCTGTTCATTTGATATTTCCGCACCTAACACCAAACGCATCACGCATGCAAAACATCTGATAGAATATTATTTCATCATATAATATTTTCTTAAAAAATCCTATCATTATAATTAGAAGCACTGAAACTATTATTATAATCACCATTTCATAAATTTGATAAATCAAAATGGAAATCAACCTTTCAATGGGTATCTGCTCTAACGCTAACAATACTTCGTTGATATTCTCACTTGCTATTTGTCTAATCACCGATAACACACAGCTGAAATAATGATCGAAATGTTATTCAATATCAATAGTAACAATATAAGTAAAAATACCCAACTTACACTGTAATATCGTCGCAATTGGATATAAGGAAACGAATAATCGGTGTCACAGAGTGCTGATTCGTTAGCGCAATTAAACATTGCTTGCGAACTTCATCTTTGCAAATTATTTCGGTGTCGATTAGACATGGAAATATCAAAATTATCCAATTGCATAGCGCCTCCGAGCCACTATTTAAGGCTTTCCATAGTAAGTTTACTGCCGTTTTCTGGAACATTTATTACTATTATTACTACTAGTGCAATTCTGTCACCAGTGGTCAAAAAAGAGATGAAACAATTGCACTAACTCACTCTTTCAGCATAGTCCTTCGACAGTTTCAGCAAAGTGAGCAAATTTGAGAATCCCTGCAAAAAAAGATGGCTCTCAGAATGTTTTTCTCCACAAAAATTCAAAATTCTCCAAAATTCCAACTGAAATGTAGCAGAAATATTCTCGGAAAAACGTGATCTTTGTTGAAATTCACCGCAATTGATGAAATTAACGCTGAAACCGGAAAAAATCGATTGGAAAATTTTTCATTCACTCAAAAGAGAAATCATACTTGAGATTGTATGATGGAATTTGGCGAAAACAACTGCCATTCCACGTCACCCGTCGACGGCAACGCACCACTCATCTTTCCAACTTCTCATTCACCAATTTCCGGATTCTAAACCCTCGTTTCTGGTACATACACGTCCAATGAACATAAACAAATCCATCACCTTCTTACAGCCTTCATGGCAAATTTGCACCGAAATTCAGAAAGATTCCCGAAAACTGACAAATATCAAATTCCTCAACATAAAAAATAAATGATTTCCAGTGAAAATTGCACAAATCTGACCAGTTTACTAAAGAGTAACTAGGTTTTATAAATGGGTGGGTGAGTTTTCCGATGCGGACGACTTTTACAGATCGATTTTGCGTTAATCTGTAAAATTCCTCACCACGAAACTCATCCGCTCTCTGCAGAACGCGCTTAGCAGTGGGCAGTATGCGCTCAGCTTCGAAAGCTCGCTAACCTTGCTCAAAGACAAACGAAAATACCACACCGGCCATAACTTCAGCAGTGCAACTGAGTTTTACAGAAGGCAGGCAGAGAACGAGAGTAGGTTACGACGTCTGCACTCTAACCTCTCTTATAGAGGACAGAGAACGAGAGTAGGTTACGACGTCTGCACTCTAACCTCTCTTATAGGAGGCAGAGAACGAGAGTAGGTTACGACGTCTGCACTCTAACCTCTCTTATAGA